ATATCCGCAGTCACCTTCCTAAAGGGCAGCATCTTTGTCACCCAGGGCTGCGGGGGCCCACAGTTAGAGGCAAAGGGCTTGGACACGCATAAGGGAGCCAAAGCGAGCAGGGCTCGGGACAGCAGCGGGGCGCAGGTGAGGGGGAGGGAGGGCCGGCAGCGTCCCTGAGACCGAGAGGACCTGCGACAGCTGGGAGCGGAAGGTGAGGTCGGCACCTGGAGCGCAGCCTTCCGAGAGGAGCCCTCCTCTCACCCGCTGTTAAGCCGTGAGCTCAAGGCCTTGGTGCAGACGTTTGGACAACTCTGTGATCATCATTTAATTGTGGCACCTGCCCCTTGAAATGTTGAGCGCAGGGAACGAAAATACAATAAAACCACTAATGGAAGTTGGTGTGTGCGGTCTGCAGGGGGCAGTCCTTGAATGTGCATGAGTAAAGGTATCAGAGGGGCCTCGGGTGGGGTCTCCCCAGCACAGCAGGTGAAGAGGGTCCGTAATTCATTCTACATCAGTGAGTGTCTTGTCTAGACCCTCTGGGGTGCAGTGGCCCAATAAGGAAGGAGGGCAGGGTGGACCGGGAGTTGGGGGCGAGGGGCACCGATGGGAGCTGAGGTCGAGGGGAGGCAATGGCTTACACTTTCAGCCCCTTCAGCCTCCCAGCCTGTGGGCTTGAGCAGTATTGCAGGGACTGCCACATCCCCAGAGATACCAAACATTGTACAAACTAAATCCATAAAAATTCACAGACACACGCAAAGACACACGCAGGGCGACCTTTCAAAACCACAGCCGCAGTGTGGATGACTCAGTCGCAGGTTCATTTTAAAGGACCGTGGAATTCAGAGTTGCTTTCTGTCCATGTGTGTTTCCTAAATGAAATCATGCAGGGGAGTGATTGCACTTGGAAAAGTCGGGTGACAGGGAGAAATGAAAGCAGCGCCTGTGACGTGTGCAGTTGGAGTCGTGGGCACCATACAGTGGCCCAGGTCTGCCCAGCAACAAAGCTTCCCAAATGCTCAGGCCCCTCGGGGTGGCAAGGAGAGGGACATCTCTAGTAATTCGCTGGAGTGTGTGTCAAGCGCAAGCTGTTGGGTGGCTGTCCACGGCCCCCATTCACAGAGGGATGCAAGTATTAGTAACCGGGGCAGTTATTAGATTCAGAATGCGGGTGGAGCTGTCCCCTTCACATAGGTGTGCCTGTGCCCACTGGGGGCTCCGTGACACTAGCAGCAATAACAGGAGGAGACATGTGCCAGTGCTTGCTGTGTGTGAGGACGCTGGGTGTCTTTTCTTGGGAATAAGTAAATCTCATCCTCATTCGACGGTGATGGAAATGAGTTGCTTTGAGCAAGTATGGTTCAGGACAGGACCCTTAGGTCCATGCCCCTGCTCTAACCACCATTCTCCTGGGTTACAGTTCATCAGGAGAGCTCAGAAAATATTGCTAATTTCTGCACCATTTGCTGTCCTGGATAAGGCATTAGGGAAGATGTGCGGTGTCCACGGGCCTCTAAGGCAGGCAGTGCAGAGGCGCTGTGCCGCTGACCCTCCCGGAGAATGGGCACGTCACAGCTAACGCAGGTGATTGCTCCTCCCGGGCGCTCACGATGTTCTCCACTGGCTTCCACTGAGGGGCCCTGAAGACATATCACAGATTGGATGCTGCTGCTTAACCTGGCAGGAATTTCGGGGATTCGGCCTGGGTTTCTGCACCCCCAGCAGTACGCCAGCGGCAGTCCACCTTGGCAACACACACAATGTGCCTCATTTCAAGATGCAGCTTTGCCACCTACTGCAGAGCGTCGCCTTGCTGAGCCTTCATTGCTAAGCATTGCAGAGCGATGACTGAGAGCTTGGGCTCCAGCGCAGCAGGGGGCTGGGACTACGTTTCAAGTCCACTTCTTGTGACTTTGGGCAAACTAACCAGTTTCACAGGGCCTCAGTTTCCCGATCTCCAAGGAGGGGATAGTAGTAGTACCTTCTCTTTTTAAAATATATTTTTATTGATTTCAGAGAGAGGAAGGGAGAGGGAGAGAGAGAGAGGAAGGGAGAGGGAGAGAGAGAGAGAGAAACTCAATGATGAGAGTCATTGATCGGCTGCCTCCTGCACGCCCCCGACTGGAGATCGAGCCCGCAATCTGGGCATGTGCCCTGACCGGGAATCGAACCTCGATCGCCCAGATTCTAGGTCGATGCTCAACCGCGGAGCCACTCCAGCTGGGCTAGTAGTACCTTCTTAAGAGAGTTGTTTAAAAAGTTAAAAGCTGATGCATCAAGAATCTACAGTATGTGAGGCACCCTTTTCAGTATTAACTCACTTACCCCTTCGTACGGTCCCGTGAGATGGGCACTATCAGGTAACGCCTGTTTCCAGGGAATGAGGTGGACACGCGTTACCCTGGCTCAGTAACCTGCCCTAGGTCACACAGCTGGGGAGTGGGTCCAAATTCAGTAAGTCCAGGGGCCCTGCTCTTGACCACCAGGCTGTAGAGTCCAATGTCTGAAGACGCCTAGAGACCTTGGTCTGCTGTGAGGATTTGAAATCTCAAGCGCAGAGCGTAGCGGAGAGTGAGCGCCGCGTGACAAACGCCATGTGACAGCTATTGCACCACTCTTGCATAAAAAATGCAACAAGGTCAACAAGCAAAAACACATCTGAGGACAAACCCTGGGAAGGGCCATGTAGGACCATCTACCTTTAGGAATGTACGGAATCGATGCGTATTTAATATTTCTGTGGTGAGAGCACGTGTCTCCGGCCGAAGCAGGAGCGGACGCCGGGCTGCGCCTCACCGCTGGCTGCACAGCAGCACAGGCTCCGCGCCGCTCCCAGCTCCAGGTCGGGGAGTGCGGCTGCTGATACCGGCCTCCATCAGAATATTCTTTTTCTCTGGGTCCGTTCTGTGGCTCTCATGCCATTCAACTTTTCCACTGGGCCAGATGTAAATATTTTTCTTGTTCTCTAGGAACTGCTGTGCCAAGGACCCTGTGCACCTGGCTTAAGTTTTAAAAGTTCTGGCATTACTGGGCACTATTCTAAGTGATTTGCCTGCATATCACACTTAACCTTCACTACAGTTCTATGAGGGAGGGACCCTTATTAACCCTGATTTTTAGATGAGAAAATTGAGGCTCGGAGTAGGTTAGGCAACTTCATTGAGGTGATGTGGGTCAGAACTCTTACCTCATGCACATATGACTCCCAAGGGCTATGTTCCCTAGCCCTGTCCCTTCAAATGAGACAGACACATACACATGAAGAGTTCAAAGTACTTTGAAGAATACGTTGGCCCAAGATGAGCATGGTTAGGGCCAAGGCCATTGCTATGATCTGAAACTCCTCGCTGCCCAGCATTAGGCTCTACCTGCGCCTGACTCTGCATTCCTCTACCAGGCCAGTCCCTCCTGCCTATGACAGTGCTTGTCGAGAAAGCTCAAACCTAGTAGCAATTAATTATTGACAGAGCATGCGAATTAGAGATAAAAGAAAAGAAAAGTCATTATTTCTGTACACACGCGATAGTAAATAAATTTAATTATGGTAGGGAAGCTAAGGGATCTTCGTCTGTATTAAGGTTTATTAGCGGAGACATTTAAAAGCATGTCATTATAACAAAGAGGTCTTGTGTAATCCTGAATGCGCCACTTTGGTACAAGGCTTGGGAGCGAGCAGACTTAACGGAGCAAGTGGTGGCGGATGGCCTGCCGTGCCGGCAGGTATTGAACAGGTTTATCACCAGTTAACTTCAGTCTCCATGTGCCTATAGCAAATTGACTGTGTAGTAGGATCCCGAGCTCCCTTTGTCACTGGTCGGCCTGCCACACTGGGGTCAGGAGGGCAAATAGTATCCAAGTCCTGTAATACCTTGAAGCCCCCAAATGAGAGGAAGCCACTCTGAGGGTGAACGCGGACAGAGGGGTGGGGTTGAAGAAGCAGCCTTGGAAAGGAAAGCAAGAGGTAAGGGCCCTAGTGTGGGGTCCATCACTGGTCCACTGGGCAGCCCTGGAACAGAGAAAGAAGGAATCCCACTCATAGAACCAAACCTATGCTAGATGCCTTCATGCTAGATGCCCTTTTATTCCCAGGTGATCTTGAGGTAAGTTGTAGGCCTTTACAGATGAGGGTAATAAGATTCGTGGACGTGATTCAACTTGCTGAGGTCAAAAAGCCTGTCTCATGCTCTGCCCCTGAGCTCCTTTCCCCATTCGCACAGTGAGGCCTTTGGACTAGGTCAGGGGACAGCAGGCTTTTTTTTAAGGGCCCGAGAGTAGACATGTTCGGGTTGTGTGTCACGTGGTCTTGCTGCGTGTAGTGGCCACGGACAGCACATAAAGGAATGCATGTGGCTGTGCTCCAATGGAAGTTTATTTATGAGCATTGAAATTTGAATTTCATGTAACATTCATGCATCACAAAATGTTATCATCATTATTATTGTTATTCTGTTTTTTTCCTAACCATTTAAAGATTTAAAATCATTCTTAGCTGCAGGCACTACAAACACAGAAGGTGGGCAGCAGTTTTCCAACCCCAGGACTAGATAATCTTTGACATGTTGTTGAGTGCAAAGGTTTCCTGAGAGCTACAATAATAATAATGTTGATTTATAAGCCCTTGCACGTGCTGGACTCTACGCTGAATGCTCCACAGCATTATCTCCCTTAAGCCTCACACCGCAGGTGGAAGTAGGTGCTATTATCTCCATTTCCAAGGCTATAAAACTAATGCATAGAGAAATTAAGAGTATATTTAGCTTAAACATAACAGGTAAGAGATGAGCAGCAGCTTACACCCAGGTGTATAAGGCTCCCGGCATGAACCCTTAGCCTCACGCTGCCTTTTCTGATGGTTCTGTGATCAGAACCCTAGTGGGGCAGGTAGTTAAAAAGAATTTCCAAGTGGTCATCAATGAATTTCACGCGGTAGCTCCCCACAAGGCCACTTATATCACACATTTTGTGCAAAATTAAAATATTTCTGGATAGGAATAACCACTCTCTTTCCTTGCCCTCCCTCTTCCAGAAACGTGATGCCTAAGACCGTGGAGGGGCAGATCACCATGGAGAAGACACCGAGTTACTTTGTGACAAATGAGGCACCCAAGCGCATCCACTCCATGGCCAAGGACATCAAGCTGATCGTGGTGGTGAGGAACCCCGTGACCAGGGCCATCTCCGACTACACCCAGACGCTGTCCAAGAAGCCTGAGATCCCCACCTTCGAGGTGCTGGCCTTCAAAAACCGGACCCTGGGGCTCATCGACGCCTCCTGGAGCGCCATCCGCATCGGCATCTACGCGCTGCACCTGGAGAGCTGGCTGCAGTACTTCCCCCTGTCCCAGATCCTCTTCGTCAGCGGCGAGCGGCTCATCGTGGACCCTGCTGGGGAAATGGCCAAAGTCCAGGATTTTCTGGGCCTCACGCGCGTTGTGACTGAGAAGCATTTCTACTTCAACAAAACCAAGGGGTTCCCCTGCCTCAAGAAGCCGGAAGACAGCAGCGCCCCGAGGTGCTTGGGCAAGAGCAAAGGTCGGACTCACCCCCGCATCGACCCCGACGTCATCCACAGGCTGCGCAAGTTCTACAAGCCCTTCAACATGATGTTTTACCAGATGACTGGTCAAGATTTCCAGTGGGAGCAGGAAGAGGGTGACAAATAAGGCTGGGGTGTGAGGGAAGGCTAGTGAGTGGCTGAGCCCCAGCCCCCCGAGCCTGCAGCCTCGCCTTGGGGCGTGCTCCTAGGCCCCTCCTTCGTCCAGCTGGGATTGCTTCCCTGGAGCAGCAGGCCTGCCTGGGCAGCGGATCTGGTTGACCAGGTGGCCACCAGACTCTACTGCTGATTGCTCCTGGTTAAGAGTCTGAAGACAGGATTGAGTAACTGTCAGGGTCAGAGACAGTGCCATGAATATTTGTTTAAGTGAAACAAAGAAAGGAAGGTCTGCTTTCGGGGACTCTCACTTTGCCCTGGGAAGCCTGAGTTCAGGTCCTGTGCCTGGCCTGGCCTGCTGCGTGAACCCTGCTCTGGCACCTCTCTGAACGCTAACTGTGGCTGAGTGCCCCGGGATCCTGGGGGACGAGGTCCTCACTCCAAGGGGTCTTTGGCCTTTCTGGAAGGTCTCATCCCACAACCCCGTGACTTCCTCCCTCCCCACCCTTATGAAGGGAGGGGCATGCACATTCCTCACCAAAAAAGCTGACACCCCTGGAAATCTCCTTCTAAGAGCCTCCAGGGCGGGTTGGGCCGCTCTCAGAGCCCCGAGCTTGGGAGAGATGAAGGCCATCTCTGGGAGTGAAGGAAGACAGCCAGTCCCCGTGGGGGAGGTCTCCACACCTGCCGGCCGCTCCCCAAGCACCATGGTTCTGAGACACACTTTTGGGGTGGGCTCTGTCCCTTAGGGTCCCCAGAAGAACAAGGACCAGAAAGTTGGCATGTCTTATGTTATGGATAACCCTTAGCCACACAATGAATGGGGACCAGTCACCATCTTCTGTTTGCCCCACGTCTCCCCCTCACATGTCTCATGGTTCATTTGCTCTGTTCAGAGACAGCACATATCGGGGAGTGACGAGGGCTGACTCCACTTGTCATATCCAGTTTATGGGGTGGGGGGAGCAAGGGCTGTCTGGGACACCCCCTTCAAGGGCTGCTGACTAAAGTGCCCCTTCCCATTAGTTTTATTTGATTGAGACGCAGCATTTGACACAAAGCCCTTGTTCACAGGTCTCCTAGTCCAGGGATTGTTCTGGTAAAATTGGAAACACGTGTGAGTGGGGAGCTACCTGTTCAGCTGTTATTAAACCACCGCCATTTCTCCCGCTAAATGAAAACTGTGTTGTTATAAAGCTTAATGCAACCTGATCAATGGCTTTTGATGGTGTGTTTGTGTCGGTCACCTCCACCCCAGCCCCATTCTCAGACTCTGAGAGTGTCCCTGCTCTGGGACGACCAGAAAGGCCCAGAGTAGACGATCTTCCAGGGGCTCCGTCTGCAGAGCCAGAGGACCCTTGAATAGCACAGAGGAAGCAGCTCCTGTAAGGGGCACCACTCTCCCAACCTCACTGCCTGGCGAGGAAGGGACTGGTGTGCCCGTTTCGGAAACAACCTTGCAAGTCATTGTTTTTCCAGAGAAGAAAGTGGTCATTGAGCTGACATGTTATGCCTGTACTACCCAGATAAGAGCATACATAGCCTGGCCATTTGGCTCCGTTGGTTGGGGTGTCATCCACACCAAGAGGCTGCAGGTTCGATTCCCAGTCGGCGGGTACAGGAGGCAGCGATCGGTGTTTCTCTCTCTCTCCCTTCCTTCCACTTTCTCTAAAAAAACAACAATAAAAACATAATCCTAGGTGAGGATTAAAGTTTAGATAAATAGATAAAAATAGACACACACACCTGTTTCAAGGAAGAATATGCATGAATGCGCGCTTGTTCAGAGGAGTGTGGCCGTGTTTTGTATGAAGGGCCAGGAGCGAGTCCACTGACACCTCGGGGTCAGCTGTGGGGTTTCCCAGGTACAGCCTCCTGAGCCCATCTCAGCCCCCTGAGGAGTCAGGGTCTCCAGGCGGGGCTCGAGCTTCTGCTCCTTCAAAAATAGACTTGTGGCTCAGTTTGTTGGAGCATCTTCCCACACACCAGAGGGTCACGGGTTCAGATCCTGCCCAGGGCACATACCTAGGTGTCGGGTTTGATCTCCGGTTAGGGTGCACACGAGAGGCAGCCGGTCACTATTTCTCTCTCACATCAATGTCTCTCTTCCTCCCTCCCTCTTTCTAAAACAAATCAATAAACATGTCCTCGGGCGAAGATTATAAAAACGAAGGGATATATATTCTTACGGAAGCTGGGATCACGAACAACAGGAGGAAAGTCTTAGGCGAATTCCTTTGCCCCTTCCACCCTCCCTCGCACCCTCCGTGGATGTGTTGGGGTCCCAGGGTCTTACGGCTTCCTCGGGGGAGCATGGTCTCTTTTGGGGGAGTCTAATGGGGCCAAGTAAGGAGTGAGTTTATGACTGAGAAGCTCAAAGGAGCATCTGCTTGCAGAAGAGCTTCCCTGCGATTTTCCACCAGCTGAGGGGCGTCTCTCCAGCACCCTCATGTCTTCGGCCCTGAGCGGACGCGTGTTGACCCGGCCCCTCGGTCACACCTCCTCTTCATCTCCCGCCTCCCTGGCTGGCAGCATGTCCCCATGAGCTCAGCACCAAGGCCTTATGGCCGCTTAGAAGGAGCCTAGTCCAGGTGTCCTCACGTACGCGGCCGGCTAACTCTTGTTTAACTGGGCCACTTGGGGTTACGGCCGGCTCGCCTGGGGAAAGGCGGGGGCCCCCCTCAGAGCACTTTCACCCTCTGGCATACTGCAGGGGGCTAATACTCTCTGGAGAAACGGGGCAGAGGCTTCAGTCTCGAGATCTTAAGGGTTTTTATTTTAAGGGTCTGTTTGATGATATGGTTGAAAGCTCCTGGTTCTGGGAGAAATGCGAACTTGAGGTGCCTAAGTTCTATTTTCCGCGGTGTCTCCTCCAGCTGGATCCCCAGGACCTGGGACCAAGCCGCGAAGCCGCGGCCCGGTCATCAGTGGGGAACTTGACAAAGGAATTATTTCCCATCCAGAAAAGCTGAGCCAACCTGCTTAGATCGTCAGGTTAATCATCCTTCCACCCTGTTTAAACGTGAGCATTGAGGCTCGTGGGAGATTAAATTTTGTATTTGATTTCAATTAGCAAAGCACACATTATATTTAATTTCCATTGCCCTCCCTTCCCTCGAAAGATGGTTCAGACTCTGGAAAGCCTGCTTCAGAGGCGAGAACAGGGAACCCACCCTCCACCCTCCAGCTAGTGCCGCCGCCCCGTCTCCTTTGCCAGCGCCATTCTGTCCCCGAAGGGCATGGCCACCTAGGCCTTGCCCTCGACCCACCAGCTCTGAACGCAGAACAACACCACCCTCAGCACCCACAGACCTTCCCCCTTGACAGCAGTAGGGCCTGGCCGTCCCGGGCACTCCCCCGACCCGGGGGCCTCGCAGGTTGAATCTGAAGTTGAGGAGGGTGGCCGCTCTGTTCTGTGACCCTGGGGGCCCTAATCAGAGTCTCACTTCCTAAAACCCGGCCCCGGTCCTTCCCGTTACTTGTCCCTGCTGCCCCCTCCCACCTGCTCTCCCTCAACCTCCTCAGGCCCAGGGAAGGCATCTGCCTCGTGGCGGTCAGAGGAAGGGTAGCTGGCTTGGTCCTGGCCTCTACCGATGTCTTGGACAAGCAGCGTCACCCATCTGAACCTTAGTTTCCATTTCTCTAAAATGGGCTCCTTTAATCCCTACTGGCCAATCACCAGAGTTTCTGTGATGGTCAAAATGATGGGAAGATATTTTTTAAAAAATATAGTGCTTCACTGACACAGTGGAAAGTGACAACTATGGCAAAGCTGATGATGGTCATGAAGAAAGTGGAGGAGGGTCCCGTGCCCCTGCCGGAGCAGCACTTCAAGGGTATCTTCACTCAGACTAGACAAACGTGATGACACTAAGAGAAAATGGCTTTGCCCAAAGCTAAGGCCAAAAACAGCCCTCTATAGACAGCACAGAGCTGGCCGGGTTTCAGGGCTTCAAATACAAGACCTTCCCCCACCCAGGCCAGACCACCCACCCCACAGACAGGGTCTCCTCACTCGGGCCACTCCTGGCCCCACCCTCAAGGCTCTTTCAGCTACGACAAGGCCCCGAGGCTTATTCACACAGGGCCAGACGGACCCTCTTGAGATGGAAATGGGTGGTGTGGTCAAGCTTCTGGGCTTTGGATTCTGTGCCTGGAGCTTGGGCTCCTAAACCTTCACATGGATGACAGGACAGGCGCTGGGAGCCGGCCTCACAAGCCCTGGAACTGAAGCAGGGCTGGTGGATCCCCTCCGGTCCTTCAACACAGTGAGTGGGGAGAGGTGAGTCACAGTTTCCGGGTCCTCAGGGGTGTGAGGATGTCATTTCCAAGTATGGGAGGCACAGGAAACCGCTCCTACATTGTGAAAATGTGTGACAAGGTAACGGGAGTTCTCCATTCGTCACCGAGGGGGAAGCGCAGGCCAAGAACAGGTGGGGAGTGTGGGTCCACGGACGGAAGGTGGGCAGGAAAGTCTAGTGTCCCCTGAAACAGGTCAGTCCCACAGCTCTGGAGTTAATCACCTTTCACTGGGGCCTTTATTCGACAATATGTGCACAGTGAGCAAGTGGCAATTGGAAGGAATGGGAGGGAGCAAAGCTGATCTGCCTGACGGGCTCCCAGCCCAGCGGGGACGACAGTGGTGAAGGAGCACACGCAGTAAAGGTTGACACTGTTATAAGACAGGTGCTCGGTGCTATGGAAACAGGAATGGGGCAGGTAAAAGGACCACCAAGAACTTGTGGCATTAAAGACCACAGTCAGCAGAATTTTGTCTCATCCCAACTCATAAGACTATTCTAATGCTCCACAGTTAGGCTAAAGCACAAATGAGCAAATACTATTAAAATAAAATATAAAAAATACGAGATTTGGGTAATTAAGAAGGCTACTAGGAGGGGTGTATGGGAACATTGCTGTCAAGGCTAATCTCCCCAGAGGGAAGCCGTTGTCTCTTTCGGGTAAATAACTACAGCCAAGCCACTAATGAGACAGAGGTCCTTCCAAAGACAA